ACCTGGTGAGATCCTGTCTTAAAACTATAGCACAGAAACAAAACAAGTCACGCAGGGCTGAACAAGGTAAGAGTAGGCCCCAAAAGAGACTACTAACAAGACTGAGTTTACCCACCCTCGGAGGAAGTAGATCTCAGTGTGCAACCAAAGAGCCCCTAAAGGAATGTCAAAGAGCACTGAAACCAACCCACTCATCCACCTGCCCAATGCTGTTGAGCCCCAATTCTGTGCCAGACCACCGAGAAGGTGCTGGGGACCTTGTGGCTTCTTCCGGCAAAGGATAGAAATGCAATAAAAAGTAACTGATGTGAGATGGTGCTGGAGCTAAGTCACAAATCCACAGAGCGAGGCCTGAGGTGGGAGTGTGACCAAGGCTTCCTAAAGAAAATGACATGTTGTTGAGCCTCAAAAGATAAGCAGTTAGGCACTAGGCAGAAAGAGCAAATGTCTGTAAAACGAGGCCCCTGATTTCCAAACACATCCCCCCCATCCTGTTGGTCCCTCCAAGCAAGGGATACTGGTCAGACTCTGAGAGCCACAACCTCATGACTGGGTTCTGATCTCAGATCTGTCCTGGCCATCTGCGTGTCCTAGATAAACGGTCACACTTTCCTGGGCTCAAGATCAGGGACTTTATCAGCACTGGGGTGAGTTTTGCTTCCAGAATGGTCACATGCCCCAGTTACTTCCCCTTACTGACCCATTTCTGCCTTCCACCTGAACCCTATCAGTTCAAATCCCAGGCCTCCTGCAGGGATCTTTGGAACCCAAGCTGTCCAGTGCCCCTCTCGGCCTCAAATTACTGTGCTAACGTGACATTCCTCAGGGCTGGATTCTACACTTGGTCCTCAAATCTCTTAAATTTTTTCCCATCAAAACCTCCCCACTGGCCCTTGGACTCCTGGAGAGGAGGTCCAAGCCCTGTCCAGTCTCTGAGGTTGGGTGCTCAACCAAGGGCCTATGGGTGAGGCTGAAGCAGGAGGCTGTCAGTCGTGTGACATAACCAGTAAGCCTGGGACATAGACAGGACCATACTCAAGGTACCTGGGTGCTCAGATCGCTCTAGTGACAGGAGCTGGGAGTGGGAAACTACACTGCCGTATCTCTTGGGATGAGGCAGGTGCTTCGAGCTTGGGCACTATTTACCAGCTCAAAGTACACTTGTGATTAGAGCAACTTTGGGAAGGGCGGGGAGCTCAGAGCACACAGTGAGGAGAGAGGACCTGCTGCTGCAGGCATCCTATCTGGCTGGGCATTGGTCTGGTCTGGATTTGGTGACCAAGGGACTATGTGCTATGAGACCAAAAGCTGCCTCCCACCCTCTTCATGCTGACTCAACGCAGTCTCCCAGAGAGTATGACCTCTAGAAATAAGGGAAAGGAGGACAACCATCTATTGAGTGCTTGGTCTGACAGGCACTTTGCTAATGTGCGCACCACTTCGAATCTTTACCACAACTTTGCCAGGTGAATACCACTGACATTTTGCAAAGAAACCCAGGCCAAATCCTCAATTTCAGAAGCCTCACAGTCGGAATTGGTTGCAAGCTGTGGACTTCGTCCCATGGAGGAGGAAACACAGACAACACAGTAGAAAAAAGGACTGAATAGGAAGGGCTGGCCAAGAATGGGGACCATCCTGTGATGGCTCTGTCACCAGCCCCTGCCCCCAGTGGGGACACTTAATACACTAGACAAAGCTCAACACTCCAGCTTTATTGCTGGGAGTCAAGTGGCATCAGCATTTGAGACACTGGGCCTGGTACCAACTGGTCCAGCCTCTACCCTAGCTGTCCAGCAAACAGGGCCACTGACTGTTCAAAGAAAGCCAGGCTGGGCTTTTTTTCTGGACACCAAAGGGCAGCATGAAAGATCCCAAGGGCTATGGAGGGAAGACAAGGAGAGTTCCCACTTCAGGACACCCTCTGCATGCAGTCTTCCTAAAAATAACAAGTAATCTTTCTGCACAGGAGGTCCTTAACTTCTCAGGACATAAATTTGCCCCATCATCTCACAGGACCCTCCTTCACTGCAGAGTATACTCTTGGGTGGTAGGCAGGACAGGGTTTCTAGACCGTCACAAAACAATTTGCACAGTACTGAAAGAGAAGAGACTAAGATGTCCAGTCCTGGTTTGTTCTTTGCACCGGACAAGTTCAAGTGCAGATGTATAATTCATAGCTAACATATGGTTATATATGGTGTCATTCCCTTGCTAAGAACTCTGGTTTCTAAGTTAGACCACAATGATTGCTTCTACTGTCACCAAATAACAGCAGCTGACATTTATCAAGCTTTTTTACAAGCAGCTGCTGTGCTCAGAGGTTTACCTACCTCAGCGTACTTAATCTTGCAATATTGCGAGGTAGGTTCTATTATACTTATTTTACAGAGGAGAAAGTTGAAACTCAAGGAAGTCAAATAACTTGCGCAAGAGGAAATAGGATTCAAATGGTTTTGCCAGAGCCAAGCCTCTTAACTATTTGAACCAATTCCCCAAAGTCCTTGCTCCCAAAGAAGTAAGGCCTAGAGCAGACTTAAAAAAAAAAAAAAAAAAAGTGGGGGCGGGGCTGGCCAGACATGATGGTACACATCTCTCATCTCAGTATTCAGGAGGTTGAGGCAGGAAGAGCTTGAGTTCAAGGCCAGTCTAGGCTATATAGTGAGACCTTGTCTCCAAAAAAAAGAGCAGGACCCAACTGAGTATTATTGTCCATTCAGTCACAGGTGACAGATATAATAGATATTTATATTAATACTAGTTAATATTTATTTAGCATTTATTACATTTCAAGCACAGTTAAATGTTCTATATGCATTGGTTAAGAAAATACAATTTTTTTTAGACTTCATATATTATATAAGTATTATTTATATTCAATACAATTTATTCAATAAATAACAAAGCTACACAGTAGGTGTGATCACCATCATCCCCATTTGCAGACAGGAATACTGAGGCTCAGAGGAGCTCAAGCAACTTGCCAAGCTAGTGAAGCAGCCAATATAATTCTTGCTTTCTGGTAGTCTCATTTTTACCCCTAATGTTGTGTCACCAGGTCCCAATCGTACAACAAGACAGCACCTAAAGTTACTCTCACTTCCAGAGTCCTTGGACCATCCCTCCCTGTCTTTCTATCACAGCTCTACCCAGGCTGAGCTGCTTGGGACGTACATGCCATCCCTGCACAACCCAGTGGCCTGATAGGGGCACAGTGGCCCACCCAGGCTCTCTGCCCACCTCCTCCTCCTGCTCTTCAGGGTTACTTAGAGGCCAGGATAAGCAGGGGAATTCACCGCAAGCTCCACCAATGCGTAGGAAAACTTCCCCCAGCACACACACACTGAAATTGGGGCCTGTATGTCCACAGCTGTACATCCACCAACAGCTGTATTTTTATCTTCAGACTCATCCGGCTGACTCAAGCTCCATTTTCTGGGCACTTTTAGAATAACAGTCCTGGTTCCAGGACAGGCCTGGGGGGAGGAGATAAGAGAGGAATGAGGGGATAACATGGATCCAACAGAAAGGCCTGTGACTCAAATTATGTCCTGCTTACTCCCTAGGACATGGTGCTCTGTGAGTTTCCTCAGGCTTTGCATCCAGCCTGTTGCTCCTGGGCCCTCTCCTCTGACCCCGGTGCCAGCCAGTTCTTCAGGTCTTGGCCAGGTGGGTCCACACCAAGGCTGTCTGAGCTTGGAGATTTGTTAAATGCTTCAAGAAAGGAAGCCAGAAGCCCCAGTGGCCTGGCCCACTCCTAAACAAAGCTTCTAGGAGCCCAACAAGGGTCACTCTGGGCTCTGATCTACTGGCAGTGCCCCTGGCTGCAGACTCCAGGGCAGCAAGGCAGCCACTGGGCTATTCTTAGTCCCAGCTCTGCTGGAATTGGGTCTATGTAACAGCTGAAGGGCAAGAGCTCTCCAGGTACCCTCCATGCCAAACCCCTCCCTACCTTCAACTCTGGTCCCTTGGGAAAAGAGGAAGCACCAGGAATGCCACTGGACTTGAACAGGTCAAGAGTGCATGTAAGGAAGAAGACGACTGATTCAGAGGCCAAGGGAAAGAGCAGCTCACAGGGCTCCACTGCCCAAGGGTAAGCAGAGACGGGAAGGACTGACTGAGCCCGCAAGTTCCTGGGGGCTTCTGCCCAGGCCAGGCTGCTGCCCAACCCAGAGCTCTGAGAAGAGGCGTAGAGAATGCCCAGGTGCACACTTGTTTGCTGTTAGAGAAGTCTGCCCATGCCCACCTGACCCAGAGACCAGCGATCACAGCGTGCTCTAGTTTCCCCTCCGCAGGGGACAACCAAGACTGAGAAGGGGTACAGTAACTAACACACACCAGCATCAATCTGCCAAATCCTTGCCCGAGGATCAATGACCAGAAGTGCTTACTCTTCCTTCTCTCCCTTAACCATCTCCTCGCTCTTGCCCAGGAAAGCTGACCGAAGTCTGAGCACCCCGCGACGGCCCGGCCGTGGGCCCCTTTCCCGGCTCCCCCAAGTCCCGGGCTGTGCGCGCCGCGGTGACTCATCCTGCCCCTTTCCGGCGAAGCCCAGACAAGGGAAGAAAATAAATGCAACTTTCCAAAGAAAACTCTGACGCGGGAGACTGCAACAGGGGCGAGCGGCGGGTCTGCCCGCCTGGGGCTCCCGGGAGGGGCCGCTCCCCGCCCACCCCGCCGCCCGGCCTGGGACAGCCGTGGGAGCCGGGCGGCTCCAGCCCAGTCCGCCCTCCACGAAAGAAAGCACAGCTTGGCGGGGACCCCGGCGGGCGCCGGGCACTCGGCACCCGCGGGCGGAGGGGTAGGGGCCACGCCCCGGGGCACCCGCAAGCCCCGCGCCCTCCTCTGGGGATTCGCGCGGGGCTGGGCGCGCAATGCCCGGGACCTCCACGACGCGGCCCCATCCCGCGGGGCGCAAAACACGCGACACCTCCGCAGCGCCCCTCCCTTTCCCGCGCCGGGACCCTGTCCCCTGGGAGAGGAGGGGGGCGCTCTTCTACCTGGCCGAGGCGTGCGGCTGTCACCCGGGGCTGGCGCGTGCAAGCTTGTCCCCCCCCTGCTTCCCCCCGACGCGCGCCAGCCGGCGGCTTTTAAATCTCCAGGTTACTCCGCGGGGGAGAGAGCATGCGCGCTGGGGCTGCCAGGAGGGGGGCGGGGCGAGGCGGGACGGAGGTGGGGGGTGCTGGGAGGGGGATGGAGGGTGGGGCCGGTACCCAGGGGAAGAAAGCGGGAGGTCGCGAAGCTGTCTTTGTAGCAGCAGCCGCGATGGGCAGCCCCCGCATGGCTTCCAGACTGTCCTGTCATTACCTAGGACCCTGCACCGCCCCTCTGCCTCTGGCCACCAAAATATTTAGGTAAAAGCTACTCGGCTTTACCGGGCACCTCCCTCCACTCCCTGGAGCCAGCCTACGACCAATGCGCGTGAGTGCCACTCCGGCCACCCTGCTCTCCAGGCACAGCTACACCCCACACATCCAGGACCATCCCTTGAAAGGCAATGTTCCATTCTTCCAAGTTACTCTCCCTACTGTTTGCTCTTCTCCATTGCACACGTAGAGCTAACTCAGCCCCTCTTTTTGCAGCTCAAAGCCAAACATTTTTTTTTTTGTACTTAAGGTTGGGTGTAGCGAAGAGGAGATAAGTTGCTACTAAAATGTTCCCTGTGTCCGCTATTGAACAATGTCCCAACACGTACTTGTTTCAGAATGCATTTGGCAGGTGGGAGGCAGATAATTGGAGAACTAGGCTGGCCCTGGGTGGAGATGGAGGCCCCTTGTGTCTTTTTCTTCCATGAAATTTTATTAGGGTGGAGAGAAATCCAATTTAGCCAGGTTGTTGAACACCAGGGGTTTGCATAGTGCATGGCTGAGTCAACCACGAAAATATTGGGAGGAAATCATTGTATTGTTGGTGATGTGTACTAACTTAGGTGTAGAATGATTTGAGTTGCTTCCCTAGGAACATGTACAGCCTTTTTTTCCTTGTCATTATTCCCCAAACAATATAGTACCACTGTTTACATAGAATTTACATCTTATTGGGTATTATAAGTCATCTCGTGATAATTTCAAGTCCATTGGACTTTAGTTTTAGGTGTGTAGGTTATGTGCAAATACTACACCTTGTTATGGAGAGGACTTGACCAGTTGTGGCTTGGGTATCCGTGGAGACCTCGAAACATTTGCATTATGAAATCCCAGGTGACAGCGCCCTTGACGGGGAGGACCTGGTTGGCCTTAGGCTTGGACTGGACACTGGGTTCCAATGCTGTTCTGTGTCCACCAGCTGTGTGATGTGAGGCAAGTTCCTTCCATGTTCTGGGCCTTTGTGGGAAAAGGTAACTAGCCAGGTGATCTCTCAAAGCACCTGGGAGGCAGAAGGAGACAAAGCAGAAAGGGAGATAGGGCAGGGAGAGGGAAACAGTGGAGCCCTGGTGGTACTGGGGAAGAGAGACTGAGTGCAGGAGCAAGCAGAGAAGAGAAAAGTCAAGAATCAGCCTTCTGACTCACTAACCAAGTTTAACTTGAAAAGGGTCTCTCATGGCCTCCCGGGAGCCCTGGCTTCCCAAAGTCTTTGGCATACTTATTTGTGGCCAACAGAGAGACCAGGGTGGAGTCCTGGGCCCTTGAGCTGGTGTCCCCTCTGCCCCAGGAAAAAGGGAAGGAGTCAGGGGGAATTCCAGGTCAGCCGGAAAATTACAGAGCCAGGAGAGAGTGGATGGTGGTATTTTCCAGGCTTGGAAAAGAACACTGAGAGCAGGAGAGAGTTGTCCCACCTCAAAGGACTGGGAGTCCTGTCCCTCCCTTCACACCCCACTTCTGCCAGGGGCTATGTAGCTTATGTCTTGTGACACAGGAAAGAGGAAGGAGGGCTTCAGAGAGTGCGCAGAGAGTATGGTGTGAGATCTTGGGTCCCGCCCAGCAGCCTGTTGAATGACTGCCTGAGCACCCTTGCCAGTGAAGGCAACCTTTCCTTACCAGACCACACAGACACACTGTCCCCTTCCCACGCAGCTGTAGACGCTCTGCACTAAAAATCCCTCCCCCATTCTACTGATGTGGCCACCACCACCACCATCATCATAACAATAGCTAACCACTGCTGATTGTGCCAGGCAAGGTTTCTAAATGCTTTTCCTCTATTACCTCACTCAGTCCTTAGGACAACTCCAGAGAGGGATTCCGTTTTCAGATAAACTGAGGTAATTCCTCTGTTTAATTCCCCTTCTCTCCCCCATCCCCCATCTACAACCACCCACACACAAGGCTCCAGAAACAAGGAAGAGCCGCAGTCCTCAAAAGTCATAATGCCCAGCCTGCTCCCCAAGAAGCTGTGTCCTTTGGGGAAAATAACTTCTCTGGACGTCAGTCCTCTAAATCAGCTGTAGAAAAGCCATCATGGCCCTTTCCCTTCCTCCCTTATCCCGCCCCCTCCCCACACTGCACATACATACAAAACCCCTACTCCCTGACCACTTCCCATTTATAGGAAATGGGGGATGACGTGAGGACCCAGGCCATCCTTGGGGAACTGCTAATAGTCTGGCTGGATATTGGAGAAACCAAAGATGCTGGCAAAATGCATTAGCAGCTTCTGCCCCACCCCCGCACCCCCAGCCACTCCCCATTATCCATGGGCTCAGAGCAAGCATCTCCTCCTCATTCTGCACAAATAAGATGCCAGCTGGGACTGGTTGGCCTCCCAGAAGGCTGAGAATCCATGAGGACCTGGAGTTCCTTTGATGTTCTCATCTCCTGTCACCATCTCCATAATCTAAGGGCCCTGGCCCATCATTTCAAGATCTCTGCTGAGCTGGACATCAGTGGTTCACACCTATACCCCTACCCACTCAGGAGGTAGAGATCAGGAGGATCACAGTTGGAGGCCGCCAGGGCAAAAAAAGTGAGACCCTGTCTCAAAAATACCCTACACATAAAAGGGCTGATAGAGTGGCTTAAGTGGTGGAGTACCTGTCTAGCAAGCATGAGGCTTTGAGTTCAAATCCCAATACCATCAAAAAAATCTCTTTGCTTCTTCTCCTCTCTTGCCAACTCAGGATGGCAGTGAGCAGTCTCCCTAAGCATAAGGGCCACCAATAGGACCAAATCCAGACTGTGGACTTGGAAGGAGAAAGGTTGGACACAGTAAAAAAATTCCATTTCTGGAATTTTTTTTGGTTACAAAATAATCAGAGATATGTATATCAGAAGTAAGTATGTAAGAGATACTTACCTCATAATTTGTTATGAAAGCGAAAAGTTAGAAACTAAGTGCAGGACAGTAAGCCACTGGCTGAGCAAGTTATGATGAGTCCACACAATGAAACAGTATGTTGCCATTAAAAATTATGACATGGAGCTGGCCATGGTGGTACATACCTGTAATCCCAGCATTTGGAAGGTGGAGGCAAGAGGATTATGAGTTCAAGGTCAGCCTGAGCTCTATAGCAAGTTGAAACCAGCTTGAGCTACATAACATGACTTTGTTCCAAAAACCAAGGATTGGGGATTGTAGCTCAGCAGAGTAGTTGCCTATCATGTACACCGGCCCTGGGTTCAATCCCCAGCACTGGAAAAAAAAGTGACATAGGACTGGGGGAGGAGTGTAGCCCAGTAATAGAACACATGCTTAGTATCTCAAAGCCTGGGATTGATTCTCAGCATAAAAAAGAAAAAAGAAGAATTTTAATTGACTGGGGAAATGTTTGTGATGTATTACCAACTGAGAAAAGCAAAATAATATTCACAGTGGGATAAATATTTTAAAAAATGTATGTATATACTAATGAAATCTGATTGGATTTTGAAATTAGAAAAAGGATGTTAATGAAAATTGAACCTGAATAAAGTCTACAGTTTAGTGACTAGCACTCCACTCATATTAATTTCTCAGTTTTGTTCATTGAGCTATGATTAGGCAAGATGTTAACATTAGGGAAAACTGGTCAAATGGAATTCAGTATTATCTTTGCAATCTAAAGTTATTACAAAATAAAAAAGGTCTTAAAGTTAGGCATTTATCCACAGAGAATAAGTGTTAAGAAACATATTCCTAAAAATGAATACTGTTTTTTTGTTGTTGTTTTATTTCTTTTATTCATATGTGCATACAATGTTTGGGTCATTTCTCGCCCCTTCCCATGAATACTGTTTTGTTGTTTGGGTTTTGGTGGAACTGGAGCTTGAACTCAGGGCTTCACACTTGCAAGGCAGGTGCTGTACTGCTTGAGCCACACTCCAACTGAATACTGGTTTTTTTTTTTGAGTGGAAGGATGATTTTGATTTTGGGGTGGGGGCAAGGGAACTTTTCAGTATCTCCAGAATTTTTATATGAATCAAAAATTGCTTTTGTAGTGCTGGGGGGCACAGCTCAAGTAGTACAGCACTTGTCTAGCAAGTATGAGGCCCTGAATTCAAACCTAGTCCTGCCAAAAAACAAAATTAGTAAATTGAAAAGAATCCATTGTTGTTGTTGTTGTTGTTGTTGTTTGTATTTTCAAGACAAGGTCTTGAATATTTAGCCCAGGCTTGCCTTGAACTCACAATCTTCCTGCCTCGGCCACTAACCACTGGGATTACAGGTGTGGACCACCACACCCAGCTCAATAAATATTATTTCTAAAGGGAAAGAATACAAAGAAATGAAGGAAGGAGGGAAAAAAGGAATGTGAGTCACCACTGGGGCTGCTACTCCCTTCCCCATTTGTGTCCAAGGGCTAGGGCTGGGGAGATCTGGAATGGAGGAGGAGGATGGTCTGAGTGAAGAAGTGAGGAGGAGTCTGAAAAGGATGAATTGCAACCTAGAGGGTTGGAGGTCCCCACCACAAGCACATTGAGTTTTGGGTTATTGGTGAGGAAATTGAAACCACTGAAAGAAGAATGGGATGGCTGAATCTTTTCTCTGAAACCCAAGCTTGGGAATGATTGTAGCCTCTGGTTCTTAGGGTCACTGTGCCCAACCCTGACTGCTGTCACAAGACAGGGGAGCTTTAGAGTTGCTGACAAATGAGCCTCTCACCACACAGCTGGGGACCTGAGTGAGTGGCCCCATGCTGGGTGATTTGAAAACAAGCACAGGTCTACTTCAGGAAGAGACCAGCAGAAT